AAAAAAAAAAAAGCCAGTGCACCATGCTCACTGACAAACAGAATCACCCCCAGAAATTTCAAAAGAGAATGACTCTGCATTTGGTTTCCATTAATAAAGGTACAGAAATAGAATATATATAACACAATGATTTCTAAGTTCCAAGTAAAAGTTCAATTATAATGAAAATGAACAGAAAAGAATAGAAAAGTTAAACACTGTGCAGATCATTCATAATTTGAGTTGGGATTTTAAGGTTTGAATTTGCCATCTGATTGAACTCCAATTGAATAGCTCTATAAAAGGTTCACTCCATCAAAAGCAGGCATCCAAGAGGCAGCAACAGCACAGAGCAGCCAAACTGCATTTGCAATTAAGAGATTAAAAACATAGACAAGAAATATATATAACAACAAAAAGGCATTGCTTAATAAATTTGATAAACCGATCCCAACGCTCCGGCTAAGTGGTTTAAACCCTAAACTAATGTAAAATTACATCTTGTGAATTGCGTATTCGAAATCATAGATCTGCTTTTCTCATTTTCCATTAGTTAAATATGTATTAATTTATTTTCGTTAAAAAAAAAGAAAGAAAGAAAAACTTGATAAACCCAGTTCGGGGTATTATGGGAACTTTAATTTAACTTTATCCTCTAACTGACAGGAAAAAAGGACATGGACCAATCCTTTTCGATAATCGTGATCGTGAGGAACACAACAATCAAGGCGAAAGCAACTGAAGTCTACTAACGATTTGATAATCCGAATAAAAAAACTCGAACGAACAAAACTCGATTTTTTATTTAAGATTTTAAGTTTAAATTTTATAAATATAAAATTAAATATGAGGATAACTTCTCTTAATATGATTCGACTGATTCTGATAAAAAAAACAACTTAAGATCTAGATTTTTCTCTTTCTCGTTGAAAAAACAGGAAAAACCTAGATCCGAGACACAAATCTGTACACTATACGAATACGCGTATGTTTAGAATAAGGAAGAACACTGACCATCCTTCCAACATGCCAGTTGTAGCGCTACTGCTTTGCTGTTGTGGAGGAGGCTGTGACGGGGCGTACTGAGGCGCATACGGCGGAGGATATCCCTGTTGTGGTGGATATCCCGGCGGAGGATATCCTTGAGGAGGATATCCCGGTGGCGGATATGCGTCCTTGGGATACCCTTCCGGTGGATAACCTGCAGTTCGCCGTCACCAGGCACGGAAATTGAGAACGAAATCATCAGATCCACCAGATCCATTATATTCAATCAAAGTTTAATGAAGGAACTGAAATACATAAATTCACAAGAATCTTGACTGACCTTGAGGAGGCGGGACGCCGACGGGAGGCTGTTGCTGGTTGTAATAACTCATCGTTTTCTTGTTCGGTTGCTGAGAAAGCCTTTCCTTTCCGAAAGAGGGTTTAGGGAGAGAAAGCCGGAAGGAGAAAAGGGGAGTGGATAGATTTATAAGGAGAAAGTTCAAACAAAAATTAGTAACAGATAACAATGCTTATGAATTAAG